ACGTAACTAAGACAATAAGGATTTTTCTCTTCAACAATGAGCGGTCACCTTGGACAATTTCAACGGATCAGGACCCTCACTCTATTCACAAAGTCTGCTTTCGATTCCCATGAGAGGAAGACAGTGTGGTGTGCCTCCTTGTCTTTCTGCTGGGGTACGCTTTCCTTCTTTGACCAGGTTGGTCGAGACAGAGAGTGTTAAAGAGGTTCTCCTCCTAAATGGGGAAATTTTGCCGTTTAGAGCTTGAGACATTTGGAATCGGTACAATCATAAGAACCATTTTGTTAAACAATCATAAGAACAAATTTTGTTTCGTAAAATATTTTGCTAAGACAGCTTATACAAGCAATTATAATTTTTAAACGATTAATTTTTTTTCTCGCTTAGAGCTTTAAACCAAAAGTAGAATGACTGGCGGGTGCTCTAGCATGGGTTGCTCCTTTTTTCATATTAAAGATTTATCGATCTTATTGCTCCTCCTATTCTTTGTTTTTTACTCTGTAATAAAGCCCCTAATCTTCTGCACTTATATACCGATAATCTGTTTGTGCCACAGAACTCTGACTAAAAGTAAATCTCAAAAGGTCCAAGCTGGCGTTAAACTTTGACCGATATTTGACCCAGTTAAGGGGTATTCTATTAGGAAACAACACTTTTTTTCGATTTTAACTGTCCGTAGCAATCATCTCTTTTTTTTCTCTTCTCGAGACTGTTGTTCCATTGATTTCATGTCGGGTGATTAGTCAAAACAGGTGTTAATGTTTCCAGTTATAAAAGACCATCTTTTCTTGCCGATGATATACCCGATCTCTCTCTCTCTCTCTCTCTCTCTCTCTCTCTCTCTCTCTCTCTCTCTCTAACACACACACACTCACACACACACACACACAAACACAAACACATTCATATGCACACAATATTTACCCACAATATAAACAAACATTATATTATACTATAAGTACACTCACACAAAAGCTACACACATACCCACGCTCATGGACGCACACTTTAAAAAAAAGAGTTGGGAAATATGGGAGGGTGTGATGGAGTTGGTGTCACAATAAGACAGGTAGTATTGATTGGCAAATGGACGGAGAGATAATTGGAAGAGAAATATAAATCAGAAAAATATTCTCACAAACAATGAGATACGAACATAACAAAAAAATGGGTATCAAGTTTTTCATAATCAGCTCGAAACAAAATGTTTTTTGTAACCAAATATTTTCGTCCACCACTTGTCTCTTCCTCTCTCTCCTCCGTACCCCCCCCTCTCTTTCTTCCTCTCTCTCTCTCTTTCTCTCTCTCTCTCTCTCTCTTTCTCTCTCTCTCTCTCTCTCTCTCTCTCTCTT